AAGGAAAGCCAAGATGACGATCCACTCTGAGACGCCCCTTATGTACGTATGGTGGCGAATTTCTTTCACGAGAAATGCGTCTAGTTCTGCGGACATCTAGTGGCTATCTTTAAAATTTAGCAACGTCAGACGTGGGGCCCAATTTAGGGTCCGTTTTTCCGTCTGTAAAATCGTTACTGTCAGGCGCGGTCAATGGCCGGCTCGTAGTAACCCGTAATACCCTTTGACAGGCACCGACTAGAAGAGAGAAAATAATTTTATTCGGTGAAACCTGAGAAAAGAACGAGATTTTTACGACTGTTGAACATTCTTTAGTTAGTTAACATTATTTATTTCGCAAATCTTATTATATGTAATAAGAGGGACGTGTACACCTGCGAGATTCAGATTCCTGCCGAGTTCTTACAGCCCTGATTGCGCTTAAATTGTTCAGTCTTTTAACATTTTTTAAAAATATCGTATGATTAATACATGTTTCACGTTACAACGCAGGAAGTTTTATCGAAGGGAGACCACGGCAAGTCCTACAAGGATGAGAAAACCAACCACAGTAATTTGCACAAGATCAACTTGAGGAACAACCAGCTGAAGGGAAACATAATTTTGGGAAATTATGGTGTAAGTTTGGCTGCTGCGTGAATTGTTAATTGCGATTCTTTTGTCGTTTTATTTTCCTTCGATCTCTGCTAATTAAAAAAAAAAACAGAATTTGACGCATCTAGACGTCAGCGAAAACAGCATTGAGAAGTTGGACATTAGCGCTTTGCAAGAGCTAAGGAGCGTCCGTTGTGCACGAAATCACCTGACCGAATTAACTCTTTGCGGCCGAAATCTCGTGTCACTCATCGCTGGAAACAATAGTGAGCGTCGTCTTTCGTGCACGATTGTCTGCACTTTTCAATGATTAATAGTTCGCGACAGAGAACTAATCGAGCGTGTAATTTTTACAGAATTGAAGAAGCTAACCGTGGAACCTGTGCCAATTAATCTGGAGCATCTGGATGTTTCCTAGTAAATATATAAAACGTAGATGAGGGAAAAATTTACACCGGATATAACGTAAAATGTGTTGAGAAGTAACACAAATATTATGTCAAATATTAACACAAAATTAATATTCATAATGTTAACCTTCCCTCAGCAAAAAGATATCGAAGACCCAGCCAATTCATTAATTATGAATTCTAGAATACGAGAATTTTTTCAGATTTTTATATAATCCGAAGCAATGTAAAAACATGCATTCCGCTCAACGATCCGGATTGCCCACGGAAGATGCTAAATTCAATATTGTCGACGGAGGGTTGATCGACATTGAAATTTAAAATGTGTTATTTTAGTACTTATACATTTTAAATATCGAGAGAGAAAGAGAGAGAGAGAGAGAGAGAGAGAACAATAATAAAATATTCAGATAACATATAATGAAAAATTCAACACAAAACTTTTAACAAGGAACGGTTTCAAATTCAATGTTTTTTTATTGTAAAAAATAAAAAATTTTAGATCAAATTAAAAAGTTATAACGTAGATTGGAAATTTACGCATTAACGCATAAAATGAGAGTTATTAACAGTGTTATTAATATTTTGTCACACTTCTATCTCATGATTCTTTCTCACGAGTCGCTTTTCTCTCACGTTTTTACGATAGCGTGATATCAGTCGGAGTGAAAGATCAATAGACTCGTTAATTCCCTCAGCAACAATTTGGACGCACTGCCCGAATGGACGACCGAACTGCCAGCGTTACGTGTTCTCTTCGCGTCGCACAACACCCTAACGGCCCTGCCGGACCGGCTGTTGTCGCAGCCATCGAGATTGGAAGTTCTTCATCTGCCGCACAATCGATTGCAGGCCCTTCCGCCGCCCAGGAGACCGCTGAACATAGTGCACCTAACTCTTCAGGGCAACATGTTGACCACACTGCCCACCAGCTTCTTCGCGAACACCGAAAAGTAAGACATCAAGCGTATCCCGATTCGCGAATCATGCCCTGCCGGTCTTAAAGTGGATCGATCGTGTTCCGGCCGACGACAAACGATATTTTGCGATACACTTCGCGCCTCGCGCTCACGGCTTCGCTTTCCTCCCAGAATGAAGGTTCTGAATCTCTCCAACAATCGGCTCTCCGAGCTTCCGTATCGCGAGGAAGCCGGCAGGACTCACCAAGGATCGCATACTTTGGAGAAGCTTTACGTCACGGCGAACTGCCTGACCGATACCGCCCTGGACGCTCTGACGAAGTTCACGTCCTTGAGAGTTCTTCATATCGCTTACAACACCTTGGACACGCTTCCAGAAAGGTGAGCCTGTTGTAATTAAATTAATATGCAGGGAAACAGTGATCACGCAATTATAAAGTGTAATGAGAAATAGTTATAATAAAATTATCGAATATAAAAAAAATAGGATGAAAAATGACAGATATTCGTGAATAAAGATGACACGTATTACAAGTACGGAAATACTCGTGTCGTCAGGATGGCCGAGCGGTCTAAGGCGCTGCGTTCAGGTCGCAGTCCACTTCTGTGGGCGTGGGTTCGAATCCCACTTCTGACAAATCACAGAAATATATTTTGTTCTCACGGCAAAGTGTTTTTTTCTCAACTTTCAACATTTGATAATCTCGCTGACATCCTGTCGTTGGACAGAGACGACAGTGTGTATCTCCGTGTATTTTGCAATTAATCGCACTCGATATTTGTCCCCGACATTGAATATTATCGAACATTTAATGCGTTGCAGTTGCATTGCCGCGTGGGGCGATCTGGAAGAATTAGTGCTGTCCGGCAACCGATTGCAATATCTGCCGGACAACGTGGCGAATCTGCGACATTTGCGCGTACTACGCGTGCATTCTAATCGGCTCTTAACGTGTCCCACTTTTAGCAAAACGGCAGCCCTGAAGGTGAGACGCACGCACGTACGAATTCGTATCAAGCGAGTTGTATAAACGCGATTTATAATCACAGTTCGAATTCCAGAACGCGTAAAATTTTCAGCTTGCCGAAGCGGAAATATATATATGTATATTCCAAATGTTTTCCGGAGATATCTCTTTAAAAACAAAAAAGATATCTCTTCACACCGAGTAAGAAGTGGAACAAGTAGTAGTTAATTTTCTCAAATAATATATATCTCCCGCATAAATATCTTTACGCGATAGAAAATTATACAAAACTAAAAAAATATTAATTATTATATGAATTTAATTAAATTATAGTATAATAATTAGTATTATAATTACGCAATATATATGATAATTACATTATAATATTACTTATAATTAATATATATATATATATATA